TCAAAATCGGTCTGGAGTCGGTCGATAACGGACGATTACGCCACTGTTTATGTTCGTTCGCGCAGTTTTCGATGAGTCATATCATTCTTAACTTGGACGGAAATGAAATTTGTTACAACGTTGCACTTAACCTTTCATATTTGTTGTTAGTAATTTAAAAGACATTTTGAAACACATACGGAACGATAACAATTTTTTAAATAATAACACAAAAACGAAAAGGGAACTCGGCTACATTTATCGAGAGCCACAAATAATCCTTCAAAGAGCCGCATGTGGCTCGCGAGCCGCAGGTTGGCCACCCCTGTTATATACTGTATTTTAATTTATATGAATGTTTAACGGAATAATATACAGCCTATGTCCACCCTGAGGTTCCATTCTAAATATTGGTGAAAGAAATTTTGAAATTGGATGAGTAGTTTCGAAGATTACCTTCTGCAAACAAACTTACAAACATTGCCTCTTTATAATATTAGTATAGATGAAGAATTTGCATTATCACATTTTGATGATAAAGCTTTATAAAGAAATATCGGCTACTACAATGATTTTGTCAATAACAATATAGATGCTGTTATTTTTACTTTCCCCGCTGTTATGTATAACAGACGGAAAGTATAGCAATCGGTCAAAAAATGACTCCCAAGACTTTTACGTGTTTGGACTCAGGAAACCTTAAAACGTCGAAAAAAAAAAAAAAAAAAAAAAAAAAAATTCGGCGTTCTTTCTGTATGTACAGATGTTAATGTGTGGAGGGGGCACAAATATGCTTTTTATCCTATGTTTTTTATCGTAAATTTATGAAATTTTTCTTCCTGAAACCTTCAACAAACCTTCCTGAAAAGGAAGGTTTGTTGAAGGTTTCAGGAAGAAAAGGTTAAAATTAAATATTATTAATCCCCAAGGTTTCAGGAAGGAAGGTTAAAATTAAATATTATTAATCCCCAAATACCCAAACCTTCCTGAAAAGGAAGGTTTGTGTATTTGGGGATTAATAATATTTAATTTTGGCAGTTTAAGGTCGACGGAGTAAGAAGATAAAGGTTAACATATCTCGAGTAGAGTCGGACTTAATGACAATTTTACTCTTTATTAGAATTTACAATTTTTTTCTTTTTATAAAACCCATCCCTATCCCCAAAATTAAATCCCACTACAGAAGAGGCGATCCTCGTACCTACCGGCTAGGGAGAGGCAATCCTTGCACTTGTCGATAAGGAGAACCGATCCAAGAAAAAAGCAGTCGCTGATGATTGCTTTGTTCTTGCCTATGTCTTGTTTGTTCGATTTTCGTATCTATTTACGGTTATGAAAATAGGTATGAAAATAAATGCGCACGTAATGCTGCTTTTATTTTTTATTCCTAAATTCACTTAGGCGTAAAAATCGTAAACAATCAAATTTCGATACGTTTCCTTATTATGTATACATAACAACCGGGAAAGTAAAATGGAGTCCATGGCTTCGTTTTTGAGATATAAGATATTAAAACGAGCGCGCGCGACAAAGCTGTTCGTGCGATATGCAGTGGCGTAGCGTAGTGGGGGCGGCACTTTTTAGGGCGCGGCAAAATTTTACAATAAATAATAATAATATCTTGTAAAAATTTGAACCATTCTAATCTATATTTGCGTCGCGCCTACGATAGTGCTATCGTCCGGAAAGTCCGGGAATCGACTCACCGTCCGGGTGAACTAGTAATTTCATCCCGGGATATCCTGCGCTACCTGTTGACATTTTTTATTTTATTTTATTTTATTTTTATTATTATTTTTATTTTTGCTTGTACGATTCATTTGTATTCATATACACCTCCAATATCCAATATAGCTACAGTATTTTAAACAGGTCGCTGCACTAGCACGGAATTTTTCATTGTTTATTCTGTGACGAAACTGAATTTTAGTCTCTTAAATTGAGATACCTAAATAAGGGGGCGAAATTTTCCTCCGCCCCGGGCGGCTGACATCCACGCTAAGCCACTGGCGATATCGCTTTGTCGCGCATGCTCGTCCTAACACTTTATATCTCGGAAACGAAGTCATGGACTCCATTTTACTTTCATGGTTGTTATGTATATGTTACCAGCAAAGTATGAAAAGCCGGCATTCTATAGCATACCTAGGTATTGTATATAATATCCAGCGTTTTTAGGCAATCTATGAAATATGAGAATTATTACTTACTTTCCCTAGACATTGTATATAATACCTAGGCATTCTATAAAATGACAAATGCTATTTAGGCAAAGTATGAAAAAAGGTTCTGATAAGGCTATTATATAAATGACGTGCATTCCTCAAAAATACAAATGTTATTCTGAAAAAATAATGAGAGTGCCATTAGAAAAATTTATTCAAAATACGTAAAGAAAAATGAAAGTTGTACAAAACAAAATTTATGCCTTTCTTATTAAGGGAAACAAAATTTTCATATAAAAAATTACAATTAACCTACTTGTTGCAACATGGTAGGCTTGAATGACATTTTGAATTACATTTCATTACATTTTTCACGCAAAGACATTTCATATTTTGGCACTTTGTTTTACACATACATTTGACGAATCCTTGGCCGCTTCCACTGGACTGAGCAATTGCAACTGACCGGAGAGGAATTTCATGGTCAGGAATATCTTCAATTCTAAGCAAGTTCTTGGGGCATGGAGTGAATTGTGATCTCGCATATACTTGTTTTAAAATTCCTTCAGAAGTTCCAAGTCGGTAGAAACCATCCTCTGTCACACTCATTACAATTGCCAATATATTGC